TGGCTCACTGAGGAAGACCTGGCTCGACACGAAGGCGAAGCTGCAACGTCGAGACGAACAACAATCATGGACCATCGACTCGGATCATCGGCTCTGAGGAAGACGAAGACGTCGAAACGTTAGCCGAAAATAAATATATTTATCAACTTCGTGCAAGCTTATCAAGAAAGAATGCATATTGATTAGTCACACCGAGGTTTAGAGAAAGTCGGTTTCGAAATAGTATAGAAAGTGTTGCTTCAAAATGTAGTTTCAGAGTATAGTTTCGTGTCTTGTCGTCTGGTGTCTGACCAGGAGGGACAGAGAATAAGATTTGGTTACGTTTGACACTCGTTTCAAAACATCCGTAGATGAACTACAGCAATTACCATCGACATTTAAATGAAATCATATGCGAACGCTTATCGCATTTACATCTTACCGAAATCTTTTCTGATCTGAAAGCGGAGGATCACTATTTGGATATCTGGGTATTTGCACGGTCCGCCTTCACGAGTTGTGCGGCCCCCACCACATTTGGCATTCGTTTCTTTCCCTCGAAATCGTCGTCCATGGTGGTGGTCTTATTCGAGCATGGTGGAGAACGCGAGTCTGGCACCGTGATCTGCAAAATAACTGCAACTGCGAATACAGTTGATTAATTTTGGTTACGAACACATCCGCCAAACATGTAGGGTGCCGTTCCAGAAGAGGCTTCCGTTCTCGTGGAGTCTATTTTACAGTTTTTTTCGTCCGTCTATTCTCTATTCTTCTCGTTATCTGACCGGGCCATTTTGGTTTCGCTGTTGATCTTCTGGATCCCAAATATGGGGCAAATTTTGAAGATCACAGTTTCGCAATCCAGCTAGGTATTAAGAATGTCGGTTATATTTCGGAAGACATCGTTCTAGCGATCTGTGAATAGTATGGAGTATTCTTGGCGTGGTTGAAGTATCAGCCCACGGCTCTGCAGCATAACAGAGCGCTGGAAGGACCGTTGAATCGAAGAGGTGAGCACGGACTTTCGCGTCCTTAATTTGGTCGATGGCTTCTTTGAGAGGCCCGAAAACGGCCCAATCTGCTCTGCTTCTTCTATCTAGTTTCTTCTTCATATTATTTTCCGTTTTCATTGATCACCCATGTTATACGTAGGAGGTAGTCTATGAAATCGGAGAGTTATCTAGTTCAGTTTCTTCGCCTTCGCACCACGATTTTTTCATGAACTCAGTCTTCTTTCGATGTATGCTTAGCCCGATCTCTTTGGAAGATGCCTGTAGAAAAAAAAAGCGTTGTTCAGGACTCATTAAAATTCTTTTTTTATGTACTAGGGCGCAAAGGACACTCGTTTTGAATGTCTCATGGTTTTCATAGGGTGTTTGAAGATGGCGGTAGTAATGAGCTGGTGAACTATATTTACTCATTGAAATACTATCTGAGGCTAAAGTACACCTTTGGATATCGAGGTTGTCTTTTATTGGTTCAGCTTATGTAGGTTTAGTTTTCCAGGGCCCTTTACCAAAAGCATTTTTTGCTTTTTTTTGGATAAGGTTTCTTTTTATATCATGGTGGCGTAGATGACGGTTGAATTCTTTCTGTTAAGAGGCAGGAGATAATCATCTAGAGATTTTTTCTGTTTTTCCTTGTTTCAAGCAAAGCCTTTATACATCCAGGTAACCTTGGTGGAACGAGGTTTTATAGAAGCGATCAGAAGTCCTAGATTGAATCTCCGTGACATCGAATCAAATTGGCCTCTATTATCGTAATGAAAGAAATTAACACAAAGGTTTTCGAACGTGTGGGAGACTCTGCATTCACAACCCTAACCCTCCACAGTTTGTTGCTTAGTTATTACACCTCCAGAAAAATATGAATTATACTTGATAACTAGCTGAGAGACAGGCGAAACGAAGGACCCGCATGGTGTGGTGGTGAACGCGTTGCTCTCCGGAAAGGACAATAGCGCGTTCTTTCCCCACCGCAAGCACCTGCGGCCCGGAGTTTTGCAAATATCTCAGTATTTTATACTTGATGTTCCATTACTTCGACCAGATAACGGTGAAACCGGCTTGCTAACACCTATCCATGGTACTGTAGTGTTGTCAGATTCCCATCACATTTGTAATGTGGCCGACGAAAGTGGTGAGTTCATTTCGAGACCGACTTTCCTTGAACCTCGATGTGACTAGTCAATATGTATTCCTTCTTTGAAAAGATCACATGAGGTTGGTAATTACATTTATTTTCGGCTAACGTTTCGACGTCTTCGTCTTCATCATAGCCGGTGATCCGAGTCGATGGTCGACGCTTGTTATTCGCCTCGATGTGGCAGCTACCCCTTCGTATCGAGTCAGGTCAGTCTATATCAGCGGCCGATCTCCTCGAATGAGGCATACTCATAATTAGGCTATAATAGCCCTAATTTAACTATCTTACGATTTCTAAACAAATAGCAAAGCAGTTCCGCATAGTTGACATCTTCGAGACCTGTCCTGTACTCAGGATCGAGGAAGAAATGCATCGATAGCGAGGCATAGATGAAGATCCCGTTCCACTGCAAACTTGCCTCTTTGGTTTTCGTTCAACAGGCTTTATCAAACCATGCCGAGAAGCTAAGTAAACTAAGTAACCTTTGAAAAATATTTACTATGCCATCTATTATAAATTAAGTGGCTCTAACGTCTGCAATCATTTTTTAGTTGTATTTTTTTGTTTTATTTATTTTATGCGGCCCTTCACTTTTACTGTGCGTATCCCACCACTTCTCACATTCGATTCGTTTCCTCTCATCCCTTGTCCGCGAAGATCTTCCAACTTTTATGTGTGGTTTCGGTTTCCGCTTGAGGATTTCTACTTCATCCTGAATGTCGTAGAATGTTGGTTGAGCAATTCTCACTGAAGTCCTGAGATGGCCGGCCTGGGACGTTCCCAGCTGGATTGCAGGAAATGATTTTTTTTCAGACAAGTCGGGTACCAATTTCCTGACCTCGGAGGGATGGAGGCTTGGTTTGCCCGGAGTGGAGTCGAACTGGCACCATGCTCGTTGTGACAGACATCACTACCAATGTGCCATCCTCCCCCTTTTTTCAACTGTATACAGTTATAAAACAATGAAAGCCATGCTACCATGCTAGATGAAGTTGGATGCATGGTGTATCCGTTTGTGATTAATCAGTGCCAAGAAATTTATCCCTTTATTTAATCTATTCAAGTCCGACAACTCGAAAATTTCGTGAAACGTGGCGTCTTGGCTGTTGGTGCTGTTAATGTCGCCTGACGACCGGTCGAAAAATTATGAAGTTTGCCGTCAACTGAAAAAATTAATGTTTAAATTGACGTGCACATTGTTCATTCCACCCGCAATACAAGTGTTATTTAATGATATGAACTTTATTTTCCACTCAATTATAGTAAGAAAGTTTATGATCTTCGTATATCGAGGTCTACAAGAGTTAGCTGGTGGATATCATCTCTTGGTGGCCAGTCCCATGAACTGCTTCAGTTTGTCGTCTGAGAGCAGTTGTTTAACACCACAACTAAACGCAACTGGGCTGGCTTTTTCGCCCTGGTCTTATGAAGCACTTAGTTTAAAATTCTATCAAAAGAAGGGTGATGTCGACCATAGATCTATGAATTCACTTACGTCTCTCTTAATTCTCATCACACAACCATCGTTCATCATATTCTGGTAGTTAGGTGCCGAAAAAATCGTCACCAAGCGTCCACCAGCGAATATTCGATAACCTCCGTGAACCATCTAGATATTTATGGAATAAATCGAAGAGCATAACACATTCTAATTTGGGAGCGAGAAATTATAGTGATTGAATAGACGTGGCGTAACTTAACACAAATAAATAATCTATATCTTAAAGATGCATGTAGCGCAATGGTTAGATGTGCCTTACAATGTAAGCAGGTTCCTCTCGATCCCGCTCTCGTGCACACCAAGCTGTCAATCCTTCTCGAGTCGGCGAATTGGCACCAGAACTATGCCCCTATTCGCAAGGCCAACATGTGAAGATTAATTTTATTCGAAACGATGTTTTTCGAGGTTTTGAAATCCACTGTATAGCAATCAGCTTTTCAAATAGAAGGACAGAAATATTAGGCGTTCGAAGCAAATTAGTTCCCTAGAGGTGTGCCTTTCATTGAACTGGATTCATAGCATCGTTAATGTGGCTGAATGTACACAGATTTTCGGAGCTTACCGATCTACAAAGTCAATCTAGCTACCCTCTCAGACAAATCTAGTACCAATTTTGCCGACCCCAGATGGACTTGGTTAGTGGAGGGGCCTGGGATCAAACCAGGGACCACTATACTGCACTGCACCTCCATGCATCGCGTCATAAACGCCATTTTGAGTAATAAACATGCAAAAAATTCCTCCTTAGGTGAAATGGCCTTTTTTGTACTACCTCTGCGGTTATCTGATGTGCTCTGATGATCAGATCAATGTTATGATTTGTGCAGAACTCATCAACTACCGATTCGTCAAACGAGAATGAGATTCCGCGGCATGACAACGACCATCCTGGCTAAAATTCTTATTCACTTACTGAGGAACTGTATATTACACTGACACCACAGTTCCAAATTTTTAATGCTTGATTTTAGCAAGAAGATGACTTTACCGTGTTCAGTGGTTTTCCATTAAGGATAAAGGATAAAGCTCTCGGCGTTGATCAATCTCTGCGGGATGCGGCTTGCATTCGACTTTATTAAGCATCGTTTGGAGATGATTGAGTGCATATCTGGCCTATACAATGCCTCACGGTGGCATACCGATGTATCGGGTCAGCACTGGTATCCTCGCAGACAAGTCTGGTACCAATTTGCCGACCCCGGAAGAATGGAGGGCTTGGTGGACCATAGGCGCGGGGATAGATTCCACCGGGTGTTTTTATAATAGTCCAACACCTAGATATCCTACTACGCTTTTCATAAGCACCATTCTCTTTGTTGCTGTACCCGTACAGTACGCACGGAAATCACAAGGAGAACACTTAACATAATCGGTGGTCAGGTCAATACTGATTTGATGTGAATAGTATCACAGCTAAAGGTTTGCGTGAGAAGAGGCGATAATGAAGTAAATTCACCGGATATAAACGAAGTGCCCCACACGTCAGCATTGACATCAAGGTGCACCATCGCAAATGTGTTAATAAAGTTGTTTTCTCTTTCAATCACATGCAATTTTTGACTTATAAGCAACTAGAAGAGATTCTCACTTGAAAGGCGTCTGGATCTGACCAAACGATATCGCACATTATACCGTAAGGAGGTATTATCGATGGCCGTGGGATCTGCAAATTTCCGTAAGGGAGCTATTAGATAAAAACTTATTGTTTTCCACTTCTTTGCCATTAAAGAGCTGCTTTTTTTAATGATTCTTATGATTTATATGATCCGCCCTCGTACATTGTAGAGACTGCAAGAACCTTGGTTGACTCGCCATATGAGCAAAGTCCTCCTATGAGCGTATAGGTTCGGCTACTAGTTGAGAAAGTTGTCTTCTTCATGAATGTTGTTGAAGACCAGTCGAATAGATTCTCTCTGAGATTCTGGGATAGCTCAAGTGGAGTATCGCCAGATTCCGTTCTCAAATAGTTCGTTAGGAATCAGAGGGAGCTTTTAGCGTAGGTTTGCTACCCATTTGTGGNCTACAGAAGGGCGACCATCTGGATTGACTAGGGATAAGGTCGGACCGGTGACACACGCATGTATTGCCCAACATCTCTAACCATTGCGCTTCCGGAAGATCTGTGTTGAGGTTAGCTAATACAAAAGACCGGAGAAAGATCTGAACGAACCCTTTCGATATCTTCCAATGTGGTGATATAAGGAGAGAGACCTCCATGCATGCAAAGCACATTTTCGCCAAGAAGAGCGCATAACGGCAAGTGGTTGAAGACGTTGATTAGTGCAAGGTAAACCTGAATAACTCTTGCTTATTGACAAATAAGTTGATTCAGTCCATGTTTTAGCAAACGATCTACACGTTATCAAGCTTTAATTTCACTAACTGTGGTATTCATTATACGCTTCAAAAGTGACCTCGTTTGTTTTTAGTGTTTCACGTTCTGTCATTAGGCCTTTTAGAGGTATTTCCTTCTTTATCTCTTAAATCTTGTCTTTCAACATAGTACCTGTGACTGTTCCGTGTACTTTTCCACATACACTAAGGCGCATCTTTTCTTTACATCTAGCAGAAAATATTAGTGTCTCATCTGGGAGCGATATTTCCCATCCTTGCTTTCGTAACAGTTTTAGAGACGTCATGAAGCACGACCTCTCAAAGGTTTACCGCCTCATCGTGGCTGAGAGGTGATCCTAGGTGTCGGGTTTGCGAGTTGCAGCGAGGGTTTCGTCCTCCAGCAGGGTCATCCAAGCTGAGAAGGAGTCCGGCGTTTCCACCAGAAAGTCCAGCTAAGCGTAAACCAATACTAGAATACAGTATCACGTTGTCAAACTAGTCGCATTGTGGCAAATCTTGTTCTGATCCATAAGGGTGGCAGCTGCCTAGGCAGACTCTGGGCAGATTAACCCAGTCACTACAGTGGACCACAATGGCTATACTAGCAATACTCCGAAAAATGGAAATTATGCTGGAGCCCACATAACTAGTGAGGACGGGCCGTCCAAGAATCCAGGTATCCAAGTATCGAGCACCGCTCTACGTTCACACTTACATCATTGGGGTTTTCTCACTACTTAAATCGCATTAGCGAGGAAACAAATCTGTGGGTCCCACGTCTCCTACTATCAGAATTTTCAAAGTTGCTCCCTCTTAACGCAGCATTTAAATTTAAAGTTTTGCTAAGTTGGTTCCAAATAAGTCTTTTTTTCTTGGTGTGCCATGTGATTAATGACTTTCACAACTGCTTTGGAATCTCACCCATTCTCCTCGTATGCCATATTTTATCATACATTCATCGTAGAAGCCGTATGTGCTGGTCGTGTTGACGTCTTCGTGGTTTCCACGTAGCAGAAACACCCGATCTGGATAGCGAATCTGATAGGCAAACAACAGAATTGCCAACTCTAGACCCTAGACATGTAAAAATTAGTGAAGAATTTCCACAGTTTACATTTTCCTTCTTTGATGAGCTTGAACGAGGTTGACAAACAATCTATATTCGGCTAACGTTTCGACGTCTTCGTCTTCATCAGGGCCGATGATCCGAGTCGATGGTCCATAGTTGTTCGGCGTGTCAGTGTAGCATCTTTGCCTTCGTATCGAGTCGGATCCTCTGTGGAGCATCTCCCTAATGAGGCTTTCTTACCCGGCGACGCTCTTTTGTACAGGGCGCTGGTTGTTGATAAGCTTAATTGTCTGGAAACGTCGAAACGTAAGCCAACTAAAGATTGTTTGTCAATCTCGTATAACTTTATCCAAGGACGAATACACATTGATTGATCAAGCCGAGGCTAAACGAAAGTCGATTTCGAAATATTACATAGTATATTTAAAGGATTAGTTAAAACCTGGTCTTACTTGAGTTCCTCTATCGACGTAGTCACCAAGAAACACATAAGTATTTCTTGAAGGATCACCGCATCGGTCGATAATTTTTCGCAAATCTACTAGCTGCCCGTGTAGATCGCCCACAACAGTGGCTGGGAGCGAATCCCTGAATTCAGTGAAGTTGAACCAAGTTACGGTTACCATTCTGTGTTAATCTAAAGTCACAGCTTTGGATAAAAAAGTATTCACTGAATACTGCCGTGTTATTAGAGACCATGAGCTGGCTGAACAACGCTGGGTAGACCGCCTCCTGATGGTTTACAGATAAAGTATTGACGTTAACCAAATGTTCCCTTCTCCTTCCCTATGTTGGAGGTGATTTCCGAAGGCAAGCTGTTTGTCCGTACTCCATCAGTTTAGTTTTACCTTCTGTACATGAGTAGTAACAATCACACAAACATCCGTTTTCATGAGAACTAGTGTACACCTATGGAGTGCATAAAGTTCGCTTTGCAAAGTTTCCCCTCTTTTAATATTCTATAGGAAAATGACTAATGCAGAAGCATTCAAATTTCTGTTGGGCACTCGGTAAGCCTTCTGGGTAGCATATTCTGTAGACTTTTTTATTTTCATCAGATTTCTGTGATACGGGAAGTTTTTCGGTTCCAGTTATTCATTACGAAGGGAGATACACCATCTTCGCCACAGGTGGACAAACTGTGACAATACATGCCAATTTGTAATTTCGGATGGCTTGCAGAGAACCATCCTAGTGGTAGACGTTATAGCTGTTGGTTGAAAATTTGTGAAATTATGCCAGTAAGTGACATATACGTGCTAAATTCTTTGATGTGTTCGCTGCTTCGTAACACAAGTCCATCTTCAGCGATGAATTCATGGGTGGGGGCAGTCACTATAGCAGAAGCAACCGTGGTACACGTGGATGGCCTCTTAGCAAAAGCAATTCCGGCATTGGGTGCTCTTCATGTTCATGGAGAGAGCAGTGCTGCTTGTATAGGTTGATTGTTCAAGTGCAACGCCGATAAATGGGAAATTAGTTATTTCCTTATTAAGTAGATGAAAAATGAAGTTGGACGAAAAAGGGTAACACTTTTGGAGTTGATCAATAGGTAAGGGATGCACCATGAATTCGATGTTAATAAGCATCGTTAGAGATGACTGAATGCATATCTGGCTTATAAAGTGACGTATGGTGGCCTTACAATCTATCAAACCAGGACTGTTATCCTTCGTGTTATTCTTCCACACAAACCTGGGGCCAGTTTGCACACTCCGAACGGATAGAGGGCTCATTGAGCCTGGGTCGTTATAAAGTCATTAGGAAAACAATCCGTCGGCGGTGTCGAATCAACATGCGATTCAGCGCATCCTGCAGAGTACCTCTAAATACTGCGCTACAAGTGTTGCACACATTACTTGCTCACAAGTGATTTATCCATCTTCACACGATTTTACTCCGCAGCTTTACATTCCANTGTATGCAAGATTTGAAAATGTAAGGCCAACCTGTTGACAATAATTTGTTGACTCACCTAGACAACCTAATAAGTCCTTTATGCCTCATTAGCGAATCGGTAGCACTGGTGGATACATTCCGGATTTCGTCGACCGTCAACTGAACGTCAACCTCAGGTGCATTGTGCTTAATTCTGGAAGCAACGACGAAGGCGTTTAAAGAATTCCACAGTACTGAAGCGTGTTATGTGAAATATAACCCCCAATGATGCTGAACCACAGTGAACAATGGCGGTGAAAACGTTAACTCGGAAAGGATAAAGCGCGTTCGATCCACTCTACACTGGTGTCCTGAGTTTTGCAAATATCTCAGCATCACTGTGGTTGTCTCACATAAAGTTTGACTTTCTCATCAGATCGTTTTCCCTTATATTTGTTCTACGTGGTGGTCATAGACGATCTATTCTACCATAGTTATTCTTCATTTAACCATCAAATCTCCGAAAAATGATGATTGAGCTGGGGTGCTGAGGGCCGCACAACTAGTGAGGGCGGGCCGTTCGAGTATCAAGTGTTAAGTAAAACTTTATCGAAACGAATGTAATAATGTAAAAAAGTGAAGTTGTGAATAGTGATAGCGAAGTGGATCGTAATAGTGATAATGGAGTGATACTGCACCAATTGAAATGAGTGCTACTTTGACTAGAAAAGCTAAACAACAAGTGTTTTGAGTGAGCTGGGCGACATGAAGGAGAGACTAAGTGGAAGAAGGAAACTAGGATAGGCCGAATTTGAGTTACATGTGAATGTTACTGACAAAGCGATGGACTCAAACGCTCATGCTTTGGATCCACGGTAATCCCAACTATTTGGTTTGAAGTTCAGCTCAGTTCAACAATTTTGCGCACCATCTCTGGAGCGCTTAAAGAACGTGCTGCGAAGTATAGTGGGTACGAGCCTTGTCTAGCGGATTCTTCATTTATTGTGAAACTATCACGTCTTCAATATCTTAAAGGACACACGTTGAAACGAGGCGTGAAAGTATGGGTTTGTTCGAATTTAGGTGTATGACTTCACGCTAGACTCTACGAGTATCTCCTATAGCGCTAGCTAAGCATTTTGAATAACATCGTTCAAGGCGACGACATTGTTTGGCTTTATGATCAAAGTTCTTTAATTGGCGCCTTAACTGCTCGTCGTCCTTCATGAGCAAGCGAGTGCTGAGGTAAACTCCAGCATGCGACTCTGATACGCTTCATTAACACCGATTCGACAATCTGGACGATCAACGTGAGAGTAGATGAGGTACAAGGACTTTCCGTTTTACTTAGTCTTACGAATTACGTGCTGCTTTATGAAAGTGACCGTCACTGAGCTTGTAAATATACAGCTGCTACCGATGTGGTCAATCGCTTTCATATATTAATGGGCTTTTAGATCTTCGTTTATCTAACCTTCGCACAATGGCTTGGCTAGTTATTCCATGTAGTGAAGATTGTTTCAGTGAAGAACAGAAAGAGAGAGGGAGAAGACAGAGAGAAATAACGATTGCCTCTTGTTCTTCTGAAACTGAGCAATTTCCTTACATTGGCGTTGTGAAGCCAGCAGTTGTTATCTTCGTGATGATGTGATCCATGTATTTTTCAGTAGTGCCATCAAACGAACTGTCATTGTTGTCTAATTTTTCTGATGTTTTCTGAAGGTTTAAAGGTTTCAACCCGTTATCAGTCTTCTTAATAGAGAGCTATGAACTCACTCTGAATTGAGTTACGTTCATAGAAGAATTGATATCTTTCAAAGAAGTAGAAAAATGGACTTCACGAAAAAGTGGGATATTTGTACTAACTGATAACTATTAACTGCTATCAAATTTGTTTTTATTTTTAGCTTCATTTATTGGAAATCCTCAGAAGAACAGGTGTGGATGGATTTCAAACACACATTTCTTTCCCTAAGGACACCGCGAGCTTTTTCTCGTGAACTCCATGTCATTTTCTTGCATCTCTACTTATATGGGGCTCTTCTGAGGTTACATTATAAAAATGATGTCGGATAAAAAATACGAAGCGTTCGGGGTTGATCTACCCCTAAGCGGTCTCGCCATTCATTAGATTTCGTCTAGGTTTTCTCAGAGAACTGAATGCATGTCTGGGCAAAACAAAGAGCTATAGTGGCGAATCAAGGTATTAAGCCAGTAATTTTGACTATTTTATTTTTATATCGCTTTGTGCTAGATGACGTAATACCGATAACTGCTGCAGGGTGGGTTATCCGTTGAAAAAGAAATATTATCAGCGGATAACAATATCAAAAACAACTGCCCTGTATAAAAGAGCATCGCTGGGTGAGTATGGCTCATTCGAGAGAGATGCTCTAGTGAGGAACAACCAGCTGGTTGCCTGAAGAATGCCACGTTGAGAACACGAACAGCTCTGAACCATCGACTCGGATCATCAACTCTGATGAAAACGAAACCGTCAAATCGTTTGCGGAATAAACTTTTATCAACCTCGTGTAAACTCAGCACTAGAAATAGATGTATCAAGTCAGTTTTTTATTCCTTCTGGACAACTCTACGATCAACTTGTTTATTTTGTGAGATCGAAGGCTTGGTGAGTTCGTGGCACGAGATCGAATAAGCGACCGATCCAGTGCGCATTTCTGGGAATCTCTCTTGTTCTGAGCTCTACGCGCTCAGCTACCTGTGTAATTCTATCAAATTAGTTCACAGCAAAACGTTACCCGAAACATGACATAGGTTAGCACTGAGTGAGTGGCTCGTTTTCGCCAATCACATTTCTAGCAAAATGTCACATTAAATGGTAATTTGTAGTTAGGGTAAGACTTTTCTGTCCCTGAAGTGTCAAAAACGTTCTAGCACTTTCACAGGTCGTTATCATTTCACATCTGCTGTGGCTATGCTATTTGCGAAAGTGCACTGATTCTACCTATGATTTATATTTAGCCCTGATCCCAGGTGGAAATGTCGAGCTCGTTCTCAACCTGAAATTCCATGCTTGGACGAGCAACCGTCCACTGTACATCGAAGTTCGACATCCGAGGAAAATTCTGCCATTGCGAGAGGCTAAGGTAGGATAGTGCTGGTTTGCGCTAACTTGGGTTAAATCAATTGTGCCTGTTTCTGAATTTTGGAGACGCCTTAGCCCTACTATTTCTAGGGCTCCGAAAAGAATCTAAACCAGCATTCTATGACACTCACAAGGAAGATGAAGTCATCAGGAAGCAGTCAAAACAACACGCGAAATGTTGGAAGACGATTTGTAGCCTGTGGGCAGCACAGTAGTTCTAATGAAGGGTTATATAAAAAATAATTTCCACAATTCCTAACCTTATCGTTTATCTCGGTTGACTTTGTACTCTTTTTGAGTTCGCGGAACATATTCACGATGTTAGTAAACCTCATTAGTAGCCCGTAGTGACCGGACTACAATACGTGTGTCCGTCAAGCTCGAAAAGATTGAGTTGCTAAATCAAAAGCGCTACAGCAATGATATGCTTCATTTAGGGTCGAGTAATGATCGAGTTTTAATCTTTACCACCAACTGCCTATTTCCTAGGCAGCCAATAGCCATGCTCAATTTAGACGCATTATGTAAACTGGCTTAATAATAATGCGTTTAATATCGCTTAACTAAATATAGGAGCGATTGTAGATTGGAGAATAGAGGTAGGCTGTAGTATGTACTGGATCAGTCGTTGACTCGGTC